GTCATTATTATTATTACAAAAAATAAGATATAATAATCATTCAACTTTCAACCAATGATTTTAAGGGAAATGTGTATAAAACTAGAAATGTAGTAGAAGAAATACATCTAAAGAATGAACACAAACATATTTGAAAATAGAAAGTTGAATTAACCGAGCAAACCGTAAACGAAATACGAGACAGAGAGCCTACATGAGCAAACCTATTAAATAGATTGTCTATATCAACCTAGCGAATAATAATCGCGAATACATTAGTATAGAAAATCAGCAGCATTAAGAGGACTGAACGAAATTATTATAAGTAGGACCAGAGCACAATAAATAGACAAAGAAAATAAAATTTTAAACTTCAGATAGCTAAAAAATTTAAATATTCATAGTGCCCGAATAAACAGACTTCGATACTTGAAATAGCTGAACAAAACGAGGTAGAGCATTTAAAAACCTACATAAAGAAAGCTTCAATAATTAAAATGCTAGCAGAAATAATTTTTCGCAATGATACTACTGCTAATCACATTACACCTCTAATCTTTTTGCATTACATTACTAATCTTTCGTCATGACATTGGTAGCACAAATTGTAAAACACATACTACATTATTCACTATACGGAGATAACTTACGGCGAAAAGAAAAGAACTTCAAATTCTTTAAACTGAAATATTTTGAGCCTTATTAAATGTTCAAACTCAAACTGAAACTATGTCCAGACTATAGCATAAGGCGGCATCAAAATTGTGACTATTTTGGTCAGATTATGACTGTATTAAAATAACTCTCAATATAACTGCTTTGATGAATTGTTTTTAAAATTTCTCAGCAAATTTTCGGAAATTACAAACAAATCCCCGATAGGTAAAAATAATTCTGTGTGGATCTAGCATAATGACTGAATAATGTTTGTACAGTAGCAGGACAAATCAACTCAAGAATTTGGTGAAAAAGGCTTATTTCGAACACAAATCTAGAAGTACAGTTGACAGTTGTATTATTAAGCTTAATGATTGAGACCAAACAAAATGGATGCTTTTTCACAAACCATTTCCGCAATAGCTAAACTACTTGTAGCACCTGGACTAGGCGCATTCCGCACGTGCAATACGCACTTGCTCAATTCTCCTTCACCACAATCGAAAATAAAGTCATCAACCAAATTACCATTTGAATCAACGGCCTGAGCTCGAACTCCTGCCGGACCACTAAAAACATCACTGAACACAATAAATCAACAAATATGATCAGTGGTGTGGCAAGAGACGATGAGACCAATATAGTAAGAGTATATTGTCAATAATAGTTGCACAGAATACTATACCTAACACTAACATGAAAAACGCTATTCCAACAGAAATTGATCTCAAAAGAAAAAAAGAAAAAAAAGACTGGTATATCAGTGGAACAACAAGCGAGTTGGAGGAGTAACTATTTTTAGTTTCTAGTAATATAAAAAAAGATTGAAACAACCGTCATGATCCAGGTGATGATGTTAATATTTAGAGAAATATTACCGGTTTTTCTCTTTCTCTAAAACCTTTCTATTGAGCAATTTAAATATATTAAGCCTACAACATGGATAATGAAAACGAAAACTGAAAGAAATCTTACCGCATGACGTCCGATATTCTCAAATTAGGCATGAATCTCTGTAACTGTTTTACTTGTGCTCTTATCCAAATTCCGCGATATAATTCTTTCATTCCGTAACGAAAAAATTTGAGGATGAGTTTTCTCGTACCTCTACAAACATAATTTAAAGTCATTTGTATTTTACCAAATATTTCACAAGTTTTAGAACTTCCTACATGGAAAGAAATGCTGATTCGGATACCTGTAAGTTAAAGTATCATACAAATCAGGCAGTGAAATTTGAGAATATTTGTATCCCTCTCTTTTGTAGGCTAGAACTGCATTCGGTCCCAACCAAACATCTGAAAATATTTTGTCGTCATAATATCTTTTTTCCACTGCTTTCTTGAATATTCAAAAGAGCAAAGACGAAGATAAAATCTCTAAATTTAAAATGTTAAGCAGGTGAACTGAAAACCGCAGCTGAAGACAGAACATGATTCTCAAGTATGATGACGCTAAATTTTTTGAATATCCAGGGATGAATGGCATTCTTCGATATTCAAAAGAGCAAAGGTGGAGACAAAATGTATAGATTTAAAATGATAAATTTACGAGCAGAACAATATAGGTAATTTAAATATCAGACCTCCATTCAAACGCGGTGTGAAATGGACACCAAGAAACGGGAGACGTGGATCAGGCACCTAAAATTCTTTGACTAACTGAAAATTCTAATGATTACTTAATCATAAAGAATTTTTAATTCGCTGTTGTGTGAGAAGAAATCAGTTAAGCATGTAGCAACTATGGATCCAATAACAAACAAAATATGACAGACTAAACTAACCAAAAAAAATCAGTGCTACTGACATTACTTTCGATACAGTTAATTTCTGGATCTGAGAAAAGAAAAAGAACTTACCAATCAATAAGTATAAGCTGAATAAGCTGAAAAAAAGAACTCACAGGATAAACGTTTGTTGTTACAAGTTTCTTTTTCTCTTCCGAAGTTAACAAAAGGTATTCGCCACGGAAAGGAATAATTTTCGGGTCTGGTAAACCACCCGAAAGTTTCGCAATACGATCTGACTGAAGTCCACAGCAAGTTATCACATATTTACAGCGGATTTCCGACTGCAATTTACCTACATAAGTGAAAATGAAAATCTACCGACACTCAGATCCAATTTGTAAAACATAAACTTGACTTCATTCAACTTTTGACCGCATCCATTAGAAGCATTTTGTTATAGAGAAGTGAAAAACATATCGAGTTTAGAAGCTATTCAACGGCGTATAATATAAATAAGCTAACTGCGAAAATTCAATGACATCATTACAAATTTGAATACTTTTAAAGGCGTTTTACATTTCAGTTTGCTACAATCATCACCGTGGTATACGACAGATGGGCATTAGTGCACGGGGAAGGTGAGGAAGAAATAAACAAAAGCTACCAAAGATGATTCCGATTCGATAATGACAGGATAATCATTCGCAACGTTCTCGTTTTTCGATTCCCCGACAAGCAATAACGTTTTCAATGGGTATTTTGCATAAACAACACCACCACGATTTTCGAAATCTTGTGCGTAGGACTTCGCAACTAGTCCCCAATCAATAATACCTGTATACGGAGACCAGAGCGCTTTCAGACCCTGAACATATCATATGGTGAAACTTCAATGAAAAAATTTGGACATCGATTATAGAACAAATTATGTTCCATATTTTTCTAAACTTGAAAAGAAAAAAAACGTCCCATTAGGGCCACTAAGTTTTCCATAAACTTATATAGTCAACAGTTTTTCATATAGTTATCAACACAATATGTCCAAATGATAACAAAACATCATAACGGATCTGTTAGTGCAACAGGTTATTGGAAGTTCATGATGTTAGCTTCGACAGATAAGACTCTTCTGAGATTTAAAAACCAGACAATATTCAGCGATAATAATAGCAATATCTCATGAGATTTCAGATTTTGAGAAGATTGGAATGGCGAGAGCCCAAAACTCCAAATCAGTTTAGACTGTGAGAACAAAACATTTTATTGCGATTCAACTTAGGATGAGAGTAACTGTCTCACTAACGGTCTATTTTGACTTTAGGATCCGAACAACAAGACTCCAAAAAAGTCTGACAGGCATGCAAAATAAACGTTTTATTGTGAGAGTAAAACACTAGAAGACATCATGAATTACCCTGCAAAAGGGAGCGTAGTTCTTGATTTCGCTACCATCAATCATTTTTATTGATTTACATCCATTTTTCTGAGCTCGTTCAAATAAATTCTAAAAGAATATTTGTTAAATGCATGCAACATTTGAATTTTCCATGTTTATTAGAAATAATACGCAGTGCAATGTGCTAATAAAAAACCCTAGCTTCAGGTTATGAGTAAGAAATAAAAAGAGAAGCACAGCTAACTTTATCAGCAGTCATTCAACATGTTCTGCTCCTCAACTCATTCTTTAATTTATGCAGATGGGTAGAGTAATCGATGGGAAACTCTCAGGAAAGAGTTTTACAAACTAGAAATTCTGTTCTAAATTTTCTTCCTAAAGGTTCTATTTTAGCCCGTTATTCATTCAATGGAATAAATGCTAAATAAACATCAAGAAAAAAACTTGGATAGATATTAAAAAAGAAAGAGGGCATTAAAGAAAGACTTACTTCCAGACGTGGTACTTCGATCGGCTCCACCGCAACAATTAATTTTCCAATTCTTTTGTAAGGCACTTTATGTTCATCGCAGTATTCATATGCCAAATCAATACCTGCATTTAATATTGGAATTCTGGAGAATTTTTGAAATTTGACCGAGATTTCAACAAATTACGCAAAGTCAATTTGCAATCAATAAAAAATAAGAATAAAGGAGATAAAAGTTTTAAACTCACAAGTCCATATGAAACTCGACAAATTTTGCACGTATGTATATGTTTCATGCTATTTACAAAGTAAATCCGTACACCTTATAGAAGTCTCGATTAAACTTTTCCTTATATGTTGTTCCGATGACTGCATAGGTCGGGAAGTCTATATCAGGAAAACGCTTTACCGGAAGCTCAAACAAGTCATGTAGAATTTACTTCACATGATACTTGCTGATTTGAGGCGGTGTAATCAGGAAGAGAATCTTACCGCGAACACACAGTTTTGCTTTCAAGCTACCCGGTGCATAATAAATTCCAGCATGAAGGACACCGCTGTTGTGACCACTTTGGTGGAATGCTGAAAATTATCAGAAACTTATATAAAAGAAAATTAATCATACCCTACTTTCAGCAAATTGTTATCAATAAAAGTGGAAAGTTTGCTACTAGCCTGCCTTATTGATTTGATTTTTATACATTCTCAATCTTATCCCAACTTGATAATTTCAGCTACTGTTAACGGTATCGTGCCACTCTGCTACCTACTTCGTTTTCTTATTATTCCATTTTTGAATATTTATTCAGAAACTGTCGACGTATTACTATTCTGTTACTAATCTTCTTTATGAAATTCTAAACGTTACTTATTACATCTGAATTTTTTTTTGGATAATATCAACAGCAGAAATGACTTCTTCAAAGAAATTAAATTTTTTAAATTAATATTATTAAACAAAATTTCGTGTCAGATACTGACTATGTCCTCCATCAATTCCAATAATCCAACTTCAATTAACCACTCATGAAATTAACAATATCATCTTTTGAAACACAACAGGCGGGACATTTCCTCACAGTTGATATTTTCTATGCACAGTACTTACCTAGACGATCCTCCTTTTCTAGTAATGCTACTTTCAGTTCGGGGTTTTTAATTTTTAACTGTCGTGCGGTAGCGCAACCAACAATTCCACCGCCTACCACAACGACATCAAACTCTGATGTTGTGCTGAAGAAACAAAGTTCGATCTTGACAAACAAACATGGCACGAACTGAAAAGCAAAATTTCTTAAGCTTTTGGAAAGTTCATCGTTTCATTTAGTCGACTATCCGAGAAAGCTTCTGCTTATTGTCGTAACTTTACTAACCTTCCAGCAGCAGCCGAGGCAATACCTTTGCTTCTGGAAAGGATGCTGGTTCGAAAATTAGAAAATATCCTGGAAATCGTCGGTAAACGGATAGCTGCAGTATTCATTTCAAACTTGAGCTAGTAATATTCTGGAAAAAAACGCAATTTTACAGCAAGGAAGCAGAATAGATATGATTGTGGTCATGCCACATTTACATATTTCTCGATACGTCTTATTTCAACTTTTAAAAGTTGAACAATTTTAGATCAAGCCTGAAAACGTCCCCGTTCCGTGTGCCGATTCAATTTAAAAAAATTGAATCGTGGCTAAAAAAAAAAAACAAAAAAGCTGTGGCTAAAATTCGGAACAACACGGGAATTTTCTAAAAACTTCCATCAACAATACCACCATCTCTAGTCGAGTGCAAGTGTACTTCGTGTTCTTTCACACTTGATACCGCTAGAGTGATACGTGATTACATTCCTTACTTATTCAAACACGATCACACCCCTTCACCCTTTACTCCTACACGACAACACTCAGAAGTCCCGCGGAAGCATCACACTTCCCCCATTGCACGGATAGTCCAGTACACTCCAACATCTTCGCACAGTCCACTATGTTACAGTGACTGGGACGTTATGAAAATCTTACGTAGGATGGATTCAGTTCGAAGTTCAATTAATCCTCTTATCTCGCCTTGATTAACTGTCAAATTTTGTGTCTACGAGTTTCATTTTTTCTTATTTGTATTTTTCGAGAGTGTATGTAGCAGCATATACCAAATTGCTTAGGGACTGGATGATTTAGATTTCAAGATGTCAAACAAAATTGTTAGTTACGTAGTGTCAAATTTGATTTCGCAAAAAATGGTAGAAATTTTTAATATTATTATTTCCGTTGGGACATAAAAGGGCTAGAAAAAAGGCATGCCAAGTGAGCTATATGACTGGCTCCAGAAGAAAGAAGTTTATGATATAACTTGGTATACTAAGGCTGATTGTTTTTACTAGGCACTCTATCTTTAATCGACCATTTAACTCTGAGCAGGGTATTTTTTACTGGAAATCATCGACTTTGTCAATGACATAGTCCAGTAACACATAATTCTTTGGCTCATTAGTCAGTAGCTTTTGACTGCTAATTTATAACTATGTGCTTGCAGCTTAGGATTTCAGGAAATTTGTCTCACTGCTTGATATCACAGCTGAATGACATATTCAAATTGTGAAGGATTTTCCGTACTTGTCAGTATAACTCATTATATGGCCACAAATGTGCGCTAATTGCAAAGAGAACAAAATATCGGAGTATCAGAGTTTGCAATTTATATGGGCGATATTTCGCAATATCAGAGTGAAGTGGAGAAGGAAATTCAAACTCGTTGTGAGGCACAGCGCGCTTGACTAGGTGGAGTCAGTCAGTTCAATGGAAGGTAGAAAGAAAGTGGAAAATGCACTTCAAAACTCCACCAAGTCGTATTTTCTCTTTTCGCCTTCGCTAATTAATTAAAAATCCTTTTGTTTCTTCGTACAGACTAATTTCTTCGTATAGACTAATCTAATCGCAAATACATCTTTTAAAATACCTCGTTTTCTTTCTAACAATGATCAAGGCAAATGAATTTTCCTTTTCTAATTTCTGATTATAGTTTGTTATCGACAAGATAAATACTCTTGCGATCTGAGAAATGAGTGAACGAGCTCATTTAGTTAATTTCATGCCAGTATTACACATTTCAGGCAAGAATGTAAAGAGTCTAAATGTATTTTATGATACCAAAACATCCGTATACAATACTATAAGCTCTAAAAATGTATATCAATGATATAAACCTATAATGCGTAAAATCGACTGAAATGAAATGAAAGGAATTCAAAAACCGTTTCCAAGAAGAACAATACTGATGTGAGTTCGCTCATTAGTTGAACTATTCTAAAAAACAAAAATTTTACATTTCCTGCGTTTCTCAATATATAAAAGTATCCATAAAAAATGACTTTCAATACCATGCTATTTGAGCAGTTCGTGAATGATACAATTAAATGGTGGTAGGTGGAAATTTTCATGAAAACATTTTTGAACAGTTCAGATTGATGGATATATACGAGAAAATATCTGAAAATTACGGAAAAGTAAATGTACTAGTGTTTAACTCTTATCAAGGATGTTAAATGACAATTAATTCTTCACTGTATCAAACGATAATGATGCAGAAACAATTGTTGTTAGATAACACGGTAAATTTATCCAGCAAAAAGGGAATCAATTAAAACTGCGATTAGAAGCAGATCCGTTACTGAATCCACCAACAGATACTTCAATTATTTTTTGGCAGTGCAGACATTTTGGAATTGAAAGGCACGAATTTTGGAGACAATATAGCATACAATGAAAAAGAAATTAGAAAATAATTGAAAATTAAGAAATAAGTGGAGAATTATTTTTAAGATTCTGCCAAAAACCTTCAAACGAAATATCGTGTAAGTCTCACTTGACTGCAAAATAGTGTAGATGCTAAAGGTAAATAGCAAAGTCAAAGTCAGAAAGTACGGTTTTAGAACAATAATGCCCAGTACAAAATAAAACATTTCATTACTAGTGATAAATTTCGATTCAATTTTTTAATGATATCTTAAAAAAATCATCCATAAATTTTTACTGTTTCTGAACTGCAGAAGAAATATTATATTACCTGAAAAAAGGAGAAGAACTCAGAACAATATACTTCAAAAGAAAAATCAAAAAATCCGTCTAGGGTATTGAGGTATCACTGCTAACAGCCAGCCTTTGTAGAGTGTTGTTGAATCTTGAATTCGATGACCTTCGCAGTTTGTGTTTTATGTATTCCAAACCTGCATTATAGACATCGACAAGCCGATATAATGATTTCGTATTAATTGAACTTGAAGAGAACTTTTATTCAATCGAGTTTAATTAGTTTGCAACTTATTTGTAACTCAGCTAAGCCAAAAAGAAAAAAAAACAGTTCAAAAATCACAAAATAACTTCCTTTCTTTTCCTATGTTAAAAAATTCTGTTAATACGTTACGTAGTGATTATCAAAGAAAAAATTCAGTTTTTCATGGCTTCCGCAAAAATCAAATATTATTGGACATTAAAATTAAGGAGCTACTTTTGGTGGCATTTATCCATTACCTACTATTTTGACTACTCCGCCAGTAAATTAGTAAGCTAACTCTTTGAGCCCTAGGACCTGAGATCAAAACTTGACAAAGTGATCCTGGATGCTAAGAACGTTGACTCTGCTAAGAATGTTACCCATCATTTTATAATGCAAACTTTAGGTTAGCCATTAGCAGGATTAAAAAATATGGTATGCTTCAATACAAATAGACTATAAACACATTTGAAATCTACTTACTTACGAAATACACCTGGCATTAAATCAATGACGGCTTCTCGGATTTCAGGTAAACGACAGCCAACGATAACTGTTTTGGAGAAGGAATTTAAAAATGAAATGATAACAATTGTTGAATAGACAGAATTCGGTATAATTTCATTACTCGCCTCAAGGAATGCCACAATCATAGGCAGAACGTATAGGCCAGCAGTCGCAAAACACGACAAACCTACTGTTTTTGTAAAGTTCAGTTGACGCTTGTTTATGTTTACTGATCCAAAATCCTAAAAATATTGAGTTCAAGAATTAATAATTACTGTTCATAATGGATGGTAATACAAAAGAATAGTTTGTTCCTCAGTAAAGGAACTTCAGTTGAAAAGTCTCCAAGTTTGCTGTGTAAGAAGTGCAAAATGAACACTCAAAAATCTCAGTTCTTGTTCGATCTTCGTCTAATCGACCGCTTAATTCCACCTGAAATGACTTTAACTCATATAGTAAATTAGAAAAAAACGGAAACCTGCTTCTCTTTTATCCTTCTGCTGTATCGTCGCACGATGAACAAAGTGATAATGTAAAGTATAACACTTCCAGCAGCTGCACTAATCCGTGTGCCGTAGAATATCCTATTGAATATTGGACATCGACTATTTGGTGTCCTATAAATATGCTTTGGAGTTTGACCTTGTAGAGTTATGTGTAAGACTGGGAAGATTTATTTTAAATTCTATCAATCATAAATGAGAGAGATAAATTAAAGCAGTGGAATAAGTTTATTTTCATATTCCTGACTTGCATTCTAACTTAATGTAAAAAAACAGCGAAAAATTTTGGAGATATTCCAAATATTATCTGTCAGTGATTTAATTAATTTCATTCACTCTCGTTTTATTTCATTTATAAAGTTCATTCCAAAAAATTCCACGACGCTAACCAACAGAAAGAATGAACTTCGGTATTATTCAGATATGAACAAAATACACTTCCAGATATCAATAGCAGAATTGATAAATTGCTGCCAGCTATCTGAAACACAATTTTTTCCATTAATGAGTAATTTAAAAGTATTATGACATTTGTGGTATTAAATTACGAGTTGATGTTGCAATATTTTCAACTTCAACTTTCTAATACAAACTCTTTTGGCCTAGAAAATAATACCAAGCGGTTATGCTTCATATCACCAGCAAGAAATCCCGGACTTCAGTAGCCGATGAACCATGCTGTCGTTTTCTTCCTCTTCTTTTCGACAAGTATTTCAGCAATCAGCATTTCTTCACATATAAAATGCAAGTCAATCTTACCAAATAATGCTGGATGTCTAGCATCTTTTTATAATACAAAATTGGTTTGACGATTGAAATTAACCGGTCGATACTGACTACAAGCATTGATATGGCGGTCATCGGTTCTGTCCTAAATTCTTTTGCTAATTATCATCTGAATAAATCACTAGTTCTCTATCTAATGCAGTAACAATCAGCATTATCAAAGCCTGCAGCCGTGATTCTGTCAAAGTAGCCGAGAACCAAATCTCTTTTGTACGCAGCGCAAATGGTAATTTTGTTTGTAATATCATTAGTTTGAGCAACAAAAGTGTGGAATAAGAATGCAGCCCATAAAGCTTAAAACAAAGGAAACAAAAGCTAAAGACGCTAGAAGTGGGCGGGCAAAAAAGGAGAAAGTGGTATAAAAGGGCGTTCTGAGGAGCAATGATCGTTGTTACAATTCCTCTACTGGTAGTGACAACCTTGTCAGGTCGATGTTACCGGAAGTGGCACATGAGAGCGTTAATGAACTCATTAATTGAGAGTTATTCAAAAGATGGGAGGTTTAGTCCACACCACAAAAACCGAGTTGATGGTATTGAAGATTTCAATAAGAAAAAGAATCAGATCGAGTATAGTAGGAGTTAGATTTCCTGTGTGGTTTTCGTATTGTATCTATTTACCAATAAAGAAAAGTAATTTCCCATTGATATGTGCCGATATATCGTTATATGTTGTGGGAAGATCGTAGTATATCGAAATTGAAATACAGGGCTATTATGGACGAAGAAAAAACATATTGTGTATCTTTATTTTTATGTACGGTAACTTTTATATCAAAAAATTCATCAAAAAATATGGTCAAAACTTTACTGTACTTGTATTATTCACATAATTAAAATGGTCTTTTTTTTCTTGAAAATTTACTTTTTTGTTTCTTCAGATATCACAACTGAAAAATTATTTTACTACTGGAAATTTGAATAAGCTCAAAACGAAAGTTATGAAAGATTTACTAACCACGCTAAAATAACATTATGTGGCATAATCACACAAACTAGTCTTGGAACTGTATCATTTTGACTTCCCAAAAGAATCTGAGCGTTACGTGTCGCACCGGCTACTGTTATCGCAAATCCCATTAAACCATCAGCAAAAAACTGGAATGTGAAGTTTTGTAAGGTTTATTCATTTGTAAGTTGCAAATGCCTTCGATGGAGAAACTGTAGCATCACTTTGTTTGTTTTAGAAAGCACCCTGAATTATAGGATATGTTGGAAAAAAGGCTACTGTTTCCTTTTGTGATTTGGAGATTTGTTGTTATGAGTTCTTTCATAATTGGTGGGTCAAAAATGTGAATTGCAAAATCTGCACTACGAGGGGTTTCACATTGGAAGTTGTTGAAAAATCATCAAACCTCCATTCCTATAAGACCGTATCGTTCACGATTTGTTCTAGTTCGAACGAGTGCAATAAAATAGAACATGTTGAGAATAAAAACCACAATTCCCCCTGCGATATAAATTGAAAACTTTGTTATCATCCTGAAAAAAAAGCTTATAATTCCAGAATTATTTTTTATAGCACGAACTGCATTATACTGATCGATGCATTTAATTGATTGTTTGATTCGTAATAGTGCCGGATGTGACACAATTGTGGATAAATTTTTAATTGAAATTGTTGAATACAAGGTATATTTTGAACAAGGATTAAACCGTGTTCGCTTGGTTAGCGTATTAAATAATGGTTTGTAATATGCTGATGTAATATGCTGAGTTACAGGCTTAATATATCTGAACTGACCTTGTTAATTCGATCTTCGATGATTTGCAATGATTATTTCTACCAAGTTTGTTTCACCTTCCCTCAGTCTCTCATATTACTTTGACTTTCCATTGTCTTGAACTCCAGTCGTTAATAATTAGCATAATGACAATTGTTGGCAAGGATTTCTTTACATTCTATAGCAAATATGTTGAAAGAAGAAATATCTTTGACGTAATGGAATATGATTGGCCCAGTAAAGCTTTAGCTTAGTGACGCAATAAATCCAGCCCTGAGTTTGCTTTTTTTTAAACTGATTCCAATTTCATTAGCACAACCAAGCATTTTGATATGCAATCTTTTCCTTCTAAAAATTGAAATATTTAGAGCTTGATTGGTATGACGATTACGTCATAAGTAAGTTTCATATGGGGATGTGGAGAGATGAGAAATAACAGTAAGATTTTGAAGAAATAAAAAATGAACGCTAAAGAAGGGATTATAGTGCAAGAAGCAGATATCCTCTTTTTAAATGTCACTTCCTCTTGCTTTTTTTTATACTGAAACATGCTTTTATCTGTTTAATGTTTTCATGGCAGTGAATGTTCAATTTTTTGAATTTATTTGAGAACTAAACTTTCAAAATTCGTTCTTACTACATTGTGAAAAAAACTATCCTCAATAAATATTTCAGAAAAAGCGTTCGTTAGATTGTTATAATGCAACGACTCATTCCTTTAACTCTTTAATATCTAGGGGAACTTAAGCATATACTTTTTACTGCCCAGATATCATTGTAGGATGGAAATGATAATATATAGCAGTTTCAGGATGTGATGGATATATGCTTCTGAAAATTTTCTCCCTAAGTGAAGGAAAATTTATTTTCTAAAAAATAAACAGTAATAAAAATAAAATTAAAGCTGCTTATCAGTATTCCAATATATTAGCGAAGATTGTCCACAAACAGTGATTATATCTTTTGAATGCATTCTTCTAAATCCTGATTTCTTGTTTTGTTATTTTTTCTTTTTTTGTTTTTTAAATGGCTGAACTTAAATATTCTTACTGGAACTTATAAAACAACTAGCCTTGTCGGATTTTACTTAAAATACTATTAATTCCCTTGTACAACTGATTCCAGCAGATAAGTTAATCAGATAAATGTAAAGTAACAGGTGGTTTAAATGAGGTACAGAAATACCTCTTTCCGGTAAAGTAGAGAAAAGTCCATGCTTTTTAAAAAAAATACTAGAACAAAAAAGAAAAAAAACTAAATACAAATTTTGAAGCCAACAAAAACTGATTATTATCAGTAGCGAGGAGTAGCATTTCTTTGATTTTTTTTTAACGTATTAGAAAAAGTGATATTCTTAACCATCTGCCTTCACTTAACACATAGCCACTCAGAAATATAGAAGTAATTCATTTAACTCATTACAAAAAGCAATGAAGTGATGCTTGATAAGCTTTATAATCGAATATTACTGACCGAATAACGACTCTCCTAGCAACGCAACGTTGTTTCTTTGATTTTTTATAGCTTGTTATTAAAAAAATTGAATTTATTCGGAATATCAAGATTCCGTCCCTCTCAGGAATCATGACTTTCTTCATTTGACTATTTCCATGAGTGAGTAAAGTTATTCAAACTATTTTTTTAATCTAGCCACTATAGCCGAATTGTTGATGGAATATCAGTTAAAAACTTGAATTCTAATGAATATTCCCTAAAAGTCTTTGATCAGTCATAAATGGAAGATTCCGCGAAATATCATCACCCATCAAGAAGTGTTAGCAATATTCGCAGAAAATTTATTTTCATCAGATTACATCGAAGTAAAAACGAAGAAATGTTGCAAGTTCTTGAAATCATCAAAAAAAAAAAAGAAAAGAAAAGAAACGGTAAATTTTGTTTTTAAATATCCGCAAAAAAGTGCATGGAAAAATTCGATATGGATTAGGAGGATTAGAAGTTAGTTGTTAATTCCGGAGATGTTTTAATACATGCTTAAATAATAACGGTTTTGGTGATACTACAATTATCTTGATTGCTGAGAATGAAAAATAGCTTAATAATGAAGAAATAAAAGCGAAATAATATTCGGCATGGTTAACTACGGTACCTAGTGAGATCAAAATTTAATTCAGCTACACAAAGGTTATTATTATTTTAAATGGTCGTTACATCACCTGCAATTTGCCGCAAATGATCAAACATCAGCATGTTTACAAAAATAGAAAATGAAGTTAGCCAGTCAAAAATGATAACAGCTAATTTTATTAGTACGTGAACTAAGAAACTATGATAAATGTAGTGTCACTATCTTGTCGCATAAAAATAAATTCTCTTATGCATTACATCTTCATTTACTTGTTTATTTTATCCACTTTTAAATATTCCGTTATCCAAAACTATATTCTGATAGTTACTGATCGTTTACCTACTCAATAATGAACCATTATAAATATTACCGTATGTTTTATTTGTTTTCATAGCTTCTGTAAGGATTTTAATGTTGAATTTAAAATTTTACATGTTTGCAATGCGAGAATAAGTTGCTATTAAAAAGTAATAAACAATTTTCAGAAGTTGATTTACCACTTAATTAGTAGGTATCAAGATCAGCGGAAATCGGCTCACCACTCCATGAATTATTTATTTTTTAGAACTAATCACTAATTCCTTCATTTTAGATATTCCTGATCTATTAAAAAATGATAATATCTGGCAATAAACAATTGGTCATACAATGAATACCTCTATTTCCTCATCTAAAATTCGATTTCATTGAACGGTAGAGAAGAAAAAATCAATTAACAATCTTCATTACTAATAATTTACAACAAATGGCTTAGCAGAAGAAATTATCCTAACAGCATGATCTATGCTGTTCTATAATGACATTTATTTCAATTAAAAAATATTGTCCCGATGGATGCAAAAAATTTTTCATATATGAAAAATAAAGGCAATAAATATATTTCCGATTATTCGGTTTAACTAATAATTTATCCGAAGGTTTGATGTTGAATAAGACTTTTCGTTTTTCCCAAGAAATAGTCAGTATCGGAAACTGAGAGCAATTAATTTCAGAAATAGAAAAGTGAAATGCAAAAAGTCAATGAAATTTAAAAGGCAATATGCCACGGTAAATATTCAGCTTATTTTTGCACAGAAACACCTATATTTTTCTTTTTTTTTTGCTGTTAAGAATGCAAGCGAGACAGCATAGTTTCAACTTAAGGAAATGAACTATCACTGATAATAAAAAATTGTCATCACACTACCTAGCAAAGCGCTTTTATTTTAGTAATCATAAGAAGTAAACAAATAATATCCCCACCTATATAAATTAAGTTTTCATTAACGAATTTGATAATGCATATTATTATCAATTTTCGATAAAGTTCCGTGATATAAGTCCGGCTAATAGAATAAGGGTTAACCTTTCAAAGAAATAAATATCAACTGTTTCTCCTTTATCCGCAGCTACATCCCACAGCTACACCCATCGTATCATCGTTCCTCACTTCCAAATGTACTTATCAATCGAACGATGCACTTTGATGCAAATTAAATTTCTCCTGCTGGGAACAAAAATTAAGAGAAATTCGTATCCATTCATTCTATAATGACTTCTTGGTAGTTTGAGTGCAATGCTAACATCTCAGGACTGTTTGTGCTAATGATAAAAATGTGCAGTAATCCCATCCCACCAGTAAACAATATAATATGATAAACTAAATAAGACTTGGGATCTGAGACCTGGCAATACATTTTTAAAGACAGAAAATTTTTGTAACTTTCGTATTATAACTAGCAATTTCTTTGATTCATGGTTTCTTTGCTGGCCTTCACTTCCTCAGGTATTGGTTGTTTACTTTAATATTAATAATTTTATGCACTTTTCCAAATGCATTTTCCAGTATGGAACCCGAACACGAAGTCTTGTGCAACGTTTTATGTTTACAAGGGTTGTGATCTGCTGGAACATCCACAACAATCATTTGTTGATAACTTTGAATCGTCGTAACCAATTTTTTTAACAAATCCTGAAATACACAATGCACAACTGGATCCGGCATGTAGCCAATCATTCATTCTTGTCTGACCGATTTGCTTGATCAGATCTCTTTTTCCTTGTAGTTGAAAACAGTTACGTCACTGTTTCACGCTTCGATAGTTTCAAGCATTTCCTCGGTTGTTTTCAACAAATCATATCTTGTAGTTAAGCAACTCTCAAAAATCCTGCTAAAAAAACTTATCATCCGGAGAACAAATTTCATCTCTTTAGAGCTTCAAGGATTTTTACTTACGTCAAAATTTGTCACCCAGCAAATCTCACTCGATTCAAATTTCAGAGTTCCAGCT